AAAAAAAATAAGGAAAAGAGAAATTATTTTTAAACGCCATTTTAAAGAAAGCTTTGTGTAGAAACAAGATGTTATAGGAGAAATGTAATATTATATGAAGTAAAATAAAAATAATTCAGGTTATTTGATTGATCTTCTAAAGGATATGTCATACGATACAAATGTAATCAATGTATAAAGATTGGTCGTGTTTCAGATACTCGGAATGGATTATAGGGCAACGTTTATATTAATTATACCAATATAACATAAGGAAACTTTCTCCAATGACGTGTGCCGACTCACGTCATAAAAAGTATCGACCAATAAAGTTGAAGTAAAGCACTTCAATTACGGTCACCAAAAGCGGCGTTAATATATTCATAACCATTCAGGAAAACGAATGGAAAAATTGCCGGGTTTTTTTCATGCTGCAGAGATGGAAATTGCCATTGGAAAATTTGAATAATAATATTAACATGTAAGGACGGCGGGTAGCTCTAAGGATACCGCCAGCCAACAGTAGGGGAGGAGTATGGAAAGAGGTGTCCTTGCTGAGGTACATCCCACAATACAGCGGGAGTTCTTCATTTGGTCAAGCACCCTAGCAGCGTGGGACTGATATGACTATATATTTGAAGGAAACAAGTGGAAGAAGGATAAGCTAAACCTGTTGATTGGTCGAAAGCGACCTTGATGTTGCAGCCGTGTACAATCCAAGCGCCTGTCCTACTCCTGTCAAATCGGTTGGCGCACTCTACAATGGCAACGTGGTCTATCTTACTTATTCTTGCTTTCAACCTCGTCCTTTCTCAAACTCTATCCGATTTGCAAGTCCAAGGCGTCAACCATGTTTATCCTCTTCCTTCATACGATAAAAGGGAGGTAAGATAACTTTCTTTCAACTCTATTCAAACTTTAATTATTCGCGTTTTAATTATATTCTACCTCTTTTAAGCGTTAAAAAGAAGAATTTTACTCAGTAAACATTATTCTTAAACTATTCTTTCATTTTTAAGCAATTTTTTATGCTCTTCGATAACAGTTTTTAAATAATTTTAGTGCATTGCAAATTATTATAAAATAATAAAATATATATTATATAATTCTATATTTTAACCCAATTTTTTAAAGGAAAATTATTTATGAATATTTAAAATAATATTTTTAAGATTTTTAATTTTGTTTTTGACGTTGAAATGTGCATAATAAACGAAAATTAAATTATAAAATTTTTAATAATCTTTTGTTTATTGCTGTGACACAATAAAAATTCTCAAGCGGGTTATTACTTTAATAAAATAATTATTGTATTAAAATTTCAGAAAGGAGAGGCATTTATTACGTCATAAAGAAGCTATTAAATGTATTAATTCAGGAAATCCTTCAAAATATTATTTTTCTTCTATAATATTTTCGTACAATGATTTAAAATAATACTTTTCTTACAGCCCATTAGAAATTACAAGTCCCGATTTCAACTTGTCGTTTATTATTATCTCCTTTGAGGAAATTTGCATGAGAGCTTTTGACAATATTTCATTTATATATAATACTTTTTGATGTGTAAATGGATTGGTAACGTGAAAAATTATCTCTTTAATATATTTTTAGAAACATTGTTTTCATTATAAATTTACACTTAACACGGATTCTAACGATATTTTTTAAGTAAAATTACACATATTTTTAGCGCAAATTATATAAGATTATTGGATGTTTTTGAGGGGTTAAAATGTTTAATATTTTTTTTAAAATATTCAAAAATACCACGTCAAAAATAAGATTTAAAAAAATATTTACCCCCTGTAAATGTAGCTTCACTGCACGCACTCTTCCTTTGCGGAAAAGCAAGATGTACAGGATGATCCGTCATTAAAACTGATTGGTGTGATTGGCCAGTAAGTAACAATAATTGAAAGAAAATTTCGAACATAAACACGTTGATTAATGTTATAAAAGTGCGTACGTGTAAACTCCATCCCTATTTTCGCTATTAAATTAACAAATAAACACTCTTCGAAGCGATAACAATGCAAATATCAAAACCAAACATATAATATGCATGTTTAGATAAGCAAGTTTACCTTAAAGATTACAAATAAAATCCATTTAGTTGATTATATTTACTTTTAGTTTAACAGTATTTGTAAATCGTTAGATTTGTAAAAGATTTTTCACGAAGGTAACTGAAATCTGACCAAAACAATGAAGTAAATCGGACTCTTCATTGCTTTTAACAATATTTATCGCTCCCGATAGGTAAAACGAGATGCCTTCGATGCGTACACATCATTATCTAAATCGTATTATAAATAATCCAAGGAGAAAACAATGCCTTTTCTTGTAGGCGCTATCGTATTTATATATTACATATTCATGTAGGACAACACGCAAAGAGAGAAAGTATATTTTTATATTAAATAAATATGAATAATTTATTATTTTTTTAAAATTAAAATAAACGATGATTCATGAGACAAATTTCAGGGTAAAAATATTTAAATTGACCTAGATTTATTTTAGTAAAATTTTCTTATTTACGTCACAAGTTAATGAAATTCAAACCTTCCACTTTAAAGTACGCATTACTCAACAGGATAATAAGAAAATTGACACCTAAACTGTATAAACAACGGGCTGTAAGGTCGATTCAACGTCAATCTTTGTTTTGTTAACTATTAGGCTATTCGATCCATTGTTTATCTCCTCTCTCTCATAGGAAACTATTGTTAAGAAAACTTCTTAAAGTTAAAAGTAAAGAAAACTAAATATATTAATCATATATATAGTGATTGAGATGACGCTGCGGGAATGCATTAACACCACAGGAACCATGCAGATTAACTATCTCCCCTAAAGAAATTACAGACAATTGGATTGATGAGAAGACTTAATTGGAGGAGTACTTACATAATAATACCTACAAATACATTCAAACGAGATTAACAGAGACTGTTGTAAACTGAAAGATCACTGTATTAATCCTCTTATTTGTATATATTTCGAACTGGCATCGAGTTATCTTCACAGATAAAACTCTAAGAAATTATCACTTATAATTGTTTACAGTTTATCATCCTCGCTTAAGATGCAAACGTCATTAAAGTAAACGGCTTTTATATATATTAAAATTGTTATATTGTGGAGAAAAAAATTCGAATATGGAAGCGAAATTGCAAGCGAATGTGTTTATCCAAGTCAAGTTGAAGTTATAAGAATCGACTTTATTTCGATCATTAAATATTTGTGGACAGAATCTCGATGAAATGTTTCTGCTCGACAAATAAATCGGAATTTAGTTTACGTAAATGTCAAGCATTTGACAACATTACGCAGTTTTATCATATATAAAACTGTCTGATGTCTTATAAATTGGAAGAAATCGGAAGAAGAGGGGGAAGCAATAACAAAAACATTCAGTCCAACGTCATTAAATTAACTAATCCTCTCTCGCAGCAACGACAAACGGAGTAAAAAAACACCAGTTTTTTTTATAACAGTTCCAGAAATACACGTTTAATTATTAAAAAATCTATAAATGCTTAAGTTTTTCCTGGTATTAAGTAATTATTTACATGAATTTCTCTTGCAGCTAACCGTTCCTAAACGATCCACGATGCTGCTGAACAAACTGATGCATGCACTTCACAAGGCTCTACGTTCAGAAACTGTCAGTGGACAGCAGATGGAACTTCAGAGGCGAGGAGAAGGTAAAATGTTCTGGAGATGCTACTTCAATGCAGTTTCTTGCTTTCGAAGGAAATAATTTATAATGAATTCAAAAATGGATGTCACCTTTAAAAAATAAGGTTCGTATTATTTAAATAAGAGAATATCCTACCCCGGATCCACTTCTGAATTATTAATAAATATATTTAAATTTTTTTTTTAGTTCGACCGAATTGTATCAAGTAATTGAAAAGTGAATACATCAAATATTTTCCATCCATCTTCTTTAGAAAAAAATAAATAAATAAATAAAACAAACTGAATATTTTTATTCACTGTAAATCATTTGATTGATTTCTTTTCCTGTAGAAAATATATGATTAAAGGATATATTGATGTTACCCATCTTTTTCCATAAAGCTTCAATTCATGTGTCCGATAATTCCATAAAAAATAGAAAATAAATCACTTTGTAAATAAAGATGAATTAATGAAAAAAACAGTCGACTTGTTGATTATAAACACTTTTAAAATATATTTTTAAGTATTTTGTTACATTAAAGGGAAGAGGATTTCAAAATAAATTTTCCTTTACGTTGATTCAATGTTAAAATGGAGATAAATTGGTCGAATTCGCAGAATTAGAGCGCTCGATATAAACATTTTATAGGGCATTCGTGTAAAAGAGGTAGATATATTATGCTAAATACGCAGGGAATGTTATCTAAACATGAAATTTAGGTAGACAACTCTTCAAATATTTATATAAATTCTTATTTAGTTGGTAAACAAACACAATTTTTAGTTTTAGACCAGCTTAAAACACCTTTTATGTATATTTTACACGTTAAAAACAATTAAAATTACGAAAAAAAACTTCATCAAAAGTGTGAGAAGATCCTTTAAAACTTCGAAAAATATAAAAATTAATTTATAAAAAAAATTAATCTTTTAAGTATTTAATTATAAGGATTTATTTTCTTTAAAACTGTTTTTTTTTTCTTTTTAAATAAGAAATTTTTAAATGCGTAATAAGAAAATATATTTATTTAAAAAATATATTAATAGGATTTTATTTTTTGATTTAGCAAAATATCGATCTGTTTTGACCTATTAATTGTGTTTATATGGATAATTCGGGTCAGGTTACTAGCTTATATATGTGTGTATGTAGGCGTGTATGTGTATATATATGTCTGTGTATACGTGTATAAAGTGTATTATCGTTGTTACTATTATTATATCGGCATTATGCGATTTCTGATATAATCATTCTAATCATTTTAATGAGGTAGAAAGGTAAGTCTTAAATGTAAAGAGGACAAAAGTTTATTATCTATACTTAAATCCTCAGAGAATATGAACGTTTGTAAGTGTTGAGTTCTCTATCAGAGATATTCCCTATGCAATCCTAAATATGAGGGTTTCATATCTCATATATCTCAACACGAACCATTCAGAAATAACTGCAAAAATCTATTTGTTTAACCTGTATAATGAGGAAAAGAATAAAAATTTTATAAATTCCTATCCATTAATATGTAAACAAGTCATTATAAATTTATTTAAAGTGAAAAATAATCCTAGTTTTTAACTCTTACATCTTACAACAATAACCTATATATAAACCGATTAAATCTTGTATAAAAATTGATTTTTTTTAGAATAAATTTAAACGTTTTAATAGAATTTTTTAAAAAGATGTTGCTGTTTGGTGCATTCGGATGATGTTTCCAGAAAGATAATGTCAAATATTTTATTACAGCCCATCAAACGTGTACAAGATGACAACATTTAGACAATAATAGCAATTGTTCCTCCCACGTACTTACTAGAAATTCAAGGTCCCTATCCAAGATGAAGTTAACCGAATTGCTAATTATAACGCGTAATATATCCTTATGTTTGCATTTTAAATTTCATGTAATAACTATATAAGTTTATTTTCTAATTATGTTAATATCTAAAGGCGAAGATCATCTCGGTCCAGTTGCTCCTCCTCATCATACATTTGACTGAATCATCGTGGATTAAATGGATCGATTTGTTTACATGTTAAATACTCCGAAGGAGTCAAAGATTGATAATTGCTACTTTAAAACTTTTCTACAAATTTTAACTAACCTTAATATTTGGAGAAATCAAATATTTAAAAAAGAAGAGAGTGATGTGAAAGCTATAAGAGAAATGCTGACGTTTGCTTGATTTAACAAACATGGCCTACATCTTGTTTCTGTTATTTCTCTTAAGAATATTTAATCTCTGTGGAGAAATAAATATGGATTTTATAATAGGTTATAAGCTTATAATAGAAAATCAGTTTACTTGTTTCTGGCGATCTCTTTCTTGTCGATTTACTTCTGTCCCCATTGATAATATAGCTATATTCGTGAATGAGACTAAAAAAACAACTTAAAATTAATATATTTCGAAAGAATATAAACAAAAAGAAGAAATAATAGAATATAGAATACAGATACATAAATATACATCCACAAACCGTTTCCTTAAAGGAATTGGCTACGATACACACAAAATATCTAGATTTGTTTCGACCTAATTCCCATAAACAAATGTCTCCAGGTGTTCCCTATCCAAACACACTTCCCTTCACTCTTGCCCATCCATCATATCATGTAGAGAGATAAATTAACTCGTGTTTTTTAAGGTTTAATTGCATTTCTACTGACTAAAGATTAGTTTTGTGAGTCTAATGAGATATGCTCTGAAACCTTCTCTAGATAAAATCATAAATATGTGTAAAGGAGAACAATAAAAAAATTAAATTATAATTTTAACGGATTTTAATATATAATAATGTGTATATTTTAACTTAGTATACATCTACTTGTACAATATTTACAAGTTATTAAATTCAGAAGCGTACTGAGCAATGTCTAAACTGTAGACATAAATCATCCATAAAATATTTCCAATTATTTAAAATAAAATTTAATAATTTTAAATAAAGATAAAATGCTTAAAAGTTATAAAATGTATACTTTCATCTAATGATTTTTTTATTTTTTATTTTGTATCAATGACGTTTTTCAATGGAGGAAAGCAAGACGAATAGGAATTTATCCGATGATAATTCGTGTGGAAGCGAAGAGGAATCTACTCATGAAATTTTCCAATATTTTTAGAAGCAAAAATGATGCGAATTATTGATAGAAAAGTAAATAACGTAACATTTATCATTCTAGAATTTAAAATAAAAAATTTATTCGGATGAGAAATTCCGAGTTTTGATCCGTACTTAAAAACACTTTTCAAAGATGATGATGATGATGATGATGTTGTTGTTTATATTATTATTCATTTGGCTCTGTAGGATATTTAAATAGAAGAAATATATTAATATTATTCGAGACGAGATGCAAATATCTTCCTTGTTGTAGCTATAAATATGAAAATTGAACTGGGAAAACTCGTTGCATCCGTCCTTTTTCTATCTCACTTATGATCTTTACCATCATTTTTGAGTTTTCTCCTGAACTTTTCTAATTATTTACAAGTCTCTAAACCTTATTAATTTTATAAAATAAAATACAAATTGAAAAAATTATATAAAATAAGAATATCGAGGAAAGTAAAAAATGTTTAAGAAGGTTTATGAGGATGAAGGATGCGGAGAGGTTTTCCACAGCATCCAAACTGATGAAAATGAAGGAAAAAGATAAGAAATTTGAATATTATCGCGTAAAAAAGATTTAAAAAAACCTTAATTAAAATCTATTTAATCATACAAACAATTAAAATAGGTTATTATACAAACAATAAATATAATATAAGCTACTTAAATTTAATAAAATTCCATCAATTCAATTAATTTAAGCAGTTGATTGTACAATTTCTTTGTTAATTAAATGTTGTATTTAATGTTTTAACTTATTATATAACGTTCTTAAAACTTATTTATAAGTTTAAAAAATTAATTTTTTAATTACTTTTATCAAACAAAAATTGTTAATTTTATTGCTTAAGATAATAAATTATAAGATTTTTGAAGGTTTAAAAGGCTAAAATTATAATAATATTAAAAGAAAAAATTTGCAAATAATATTTACATAAATATAAACGTTAATAACTATAATTTTACACTTAATTTTTATATAAATTTATGTACATTTTAAACATTTTAAACATTTTAAACATTTTAAACATTTTAAACTTGTAATTTTATGTATATAATATTTATACAATTTTTTATTAATTAATTAAAAATATAAAAATAGTTTTATATATAATTATAAGCAATTAATTGGGATTAAACTGAATCTCTTGCATAATTTTGACGTATAAAGTCCAGAAAAAAGAAGATATTTCTTGTTTTAAATTAAGATAAATCATTTTATTCAATTTTTAAAATTATTTTTTTATTTTTTTTCGTTTGTGTCTTTCAATAAAGTCTAATTATTAATAAAAAATACAGAAAAAGTTTCTAAAATTAAGTCTTTCAGACATAAAAATTTGCTTTTTTTTTTAATTTATGCACCTACGTCTCCATCTGTTGACTAAATTTATAACTAATTCCAGTATTTTACGTAAAATTCTGAAAAAGTGAAGCGCGAAGTGTTAAAAATATTACGAATATTATAATAAATTATTATAAATTTGACGGATTTATATATAATAATAACAACGTCATTATTAACTTATAAATAATTTAATGTATTCTGTTTGGTTAAAGAAAGTTTGTTACGCTTCGAATGTAATAAAATATTCATAAAATAATTAAAGGAAAATAAATCGAATTTTAAACACCAGATGGCAGCAGAAGGCGGATGGGTTATTTACATTATTTACACGAATGAATATATTTTAAATATATAAATTTTCGATGAAGTCAAATTATTCATGCTTAAATTCTGATTATGAAACATTAGAAATGCGTAAAATTTAATCGAAATATTTTATTCATGACTCGATAAATATTCAACAATATATTCACAAGAGCTTAAAACTTTTACATTAAATTTTATTTATTTTTTTTTATTATATTTATTTTTTAAATAAATAAATAAAATATATATAAATATAATGTGTCATTGGGAATTTTATTCTTTTTTCAGCAAGTTGGACGTGTCTTCTTAGTAGAAAGCACTTATCCAGCTGTCAAAATGTCGCTGCGTTTTTATTGTGCAAGTGAATAAGTTTTTGAGATAACAAGGATACAAAAGTTAGAAAATAATGTCTAAAATTTCTTTTTCTTACTTTCTTCTCTTCAATATTTTTTTAAATAAAGCGAAGAGAGCGGGATCTTACACCGAAATCCTTTAACAGAAGATGCAACACATAAGTGTTTACAATCTTTAATACACTAGATGCTTGGATAATAATAATGAAAGATCCCCTGTAAATGAGATTTCCCTACCGAGTTTTATATTGTAAAAATTATTATTATTATTATTTTTTTTTTTTTACTGTAGAGAAATGTTTACACGAAGCAGTCTATTCACCTTGAATAACTGAATGAGAACACCTAGAACGAGTGTTGAATTTGAATGTTAGCATTAAAAAAATTAAGTTTTTTGGATGGAAATTCTTGAGTTAAAGATATTTTAGAAGTGGAGAGATGGTTTAATTAAGTAACACGAGGGAATCTTATAGGAATTTTTAGAGTTTGTCCAGTCGAACGTGACGTTGGAAGCGTAGGAATCAGAGTTTCTAGAGTTTT